GCATTCCATTCATTTATATTACTTTCTTTAAATGTGTGCATTTACAATTTCTTGTCCACACAAAGCTGGTTAACTCCCCTCCTCAGCTCCTATAATTGTAAACGTTTAAAGGAGTATTTCCCATGTTCAGAATTTCAGTGATTTTTGCCTTGGTTCTTGCAGCTGCTGCTGCCATTCTTAGCTTTATATTACCAGGCGCTTAAGTGTCTCAATCTGTTCCCTTGCATTTCCCCAAACAACACCCTATACAGAATCTAGATGGTGTCAAAACTAAGTAATAGCCAAAACTTTAAGCCATGTTGGATAATAGGATGTTTTCCTTTGTGTAGGACACACTTTGTCCTTATGTCAGTAACACAGTGATGTGCTTTAGAGTTTATTTGGAAATAATTGCTTCTGAAATCACTTAGAAACATGCCTTTGTTATGACAAATGTATAGTGGAGGACATGTGCTGAACACAGGACAAAGAAAATTCCTAATTACAGTGTTGCCGTTAGAGCAGCTGTACTTCCTGAAGATAAACCATGGCCTAAGGATATTGTTCCTAGCTCTGTTTTCCCAATTCACACCATTTTTCTTCTTATTCTCCTTCTCTGTCTTTCTGTTATTTTAAGATAGAAAATCGTACTATGTAACCTTGGCTGGTCAGACTGGTCTTGAACATTGAACTTGTGGTGATTCTACTGACTCTGCCCTCTTCCCCAAGTTCTGGGGTTATAGGTATGTATATAACCTGATTTGATATAACCTGAAAATATTCTTAGATGTGGCCTCTCCCAATTCTGTAAATGTACCATCTCAAGTAGTAGAAACAGTCCAAGATACTGCCCAGCGCATCTCTTTCCCACATTAGAAATACATATTTTGGGGGTATTTCACCCAATTTTATTTACTTTGCCTTGACTGGAGAGATTCAATTTCCTGCGTACAATAGATTAGCTGTTCATCAGTATAAAGAAAGTGCCTATGGTAATCAACTTATAAAGAGAAAAGGGATTTTGGCTCACATTTTTTTTGGGGGGGGTTAGTCCATGATCCAGTGACTGCAGCAAGATCATGGCACACACACACACACACACACAGCAGAACAAAACTTCTCAGTGCCCACCTATCAAGATAAATGAAAAGGGATACACAGACTTTTGGGGAATATCCATAATTCTAACTGTAGCATGAAGCTTCTGCAGTCCAGGTAAAGAAAAATCCATTTTAAGAACACACAGAACTTGGCCCAATCTAATCTGAAAGAAAGTTTGTTAAAGAAGGCTTAACTGAGGGACATGGAGGTCAGTAGAGCAGCAAGTTGACCTCAGTCTTTAGAAGCAGTTCCTTGAGAGGTCCAAGAGGAGATACTGTGAGCCATAATGGCAGTAAATATGCCACTGTGCAAGTTCATGAGCAAATACGAGAGGCAAAGGAGACGAGGAAGAGAAAAGTGAGTGAGGTGCTGGAAGGGAGCACAGCTGCCTCTTTGTCCCAGGGTTAATGCTTGTAACTTGTTTCTGAATTTTATATTTCAGAGACAAGTCCAGGTTGCACAGAAAATAAAGATGCTGGATGGTAGAACAATAGTCATTGTTGGACGTTGGACTTGAATGCATTTTTGAAGGAAGTAAATCATGTCTAGCACTCATAATATAGGTCAGCATCTTAGTTCAAGATGATATTGAATCAATAGATCAATACATAAAAGGCTTTCCATAGGGCCCTTTTAAGATCAATAATTGTTAGCCATTCAATGGCTTTAGTTTGTAAATGAATTGACAGGAGATTATCCAACAGATTTTTCAACTATTGCTAGAACCAATCCTATCAGTAAGTAAAAAGATACTGGTACTTGGGGTTAGGGGCATGGTTGCTCACACATATAATCCCCTCTGACATCTGAAACAGAATTGTAAGTCTGAGGACAGCTTGGGCTGCATGGTAAACCTAAGGTCAGCCTGGGCAACTTGCTGAGACCCATTTCCCAGTACAATGTTTAAGCAGTGCTATGGATAGAACTCACTGGCAGATTGCTTGTCTAGCATGCTCAAGAACTTGAGTTCAATTCTCAGGAGCACCACAGCAACAAGAAAGAACAATAAACCTCCACCTATGTGAGCCAATTTTGTACTGGGGTTATTTTAGTTATATTTGTGAAACAGGATTGGTGTTAATGCCCGTGAAAAGTCAGACACAATGTGAATTCTTCCAGGACATTGATGTGCAGTAAAGGCAGTTAAGGGGAGGGGGGTGTGGGACATTATGAATAAGGATGGCGTATATATTTTGTTCCTGCTATCAAAATCACTATAAATTTAGTGGCTTAAAATGAGACAGACAATATTATATAGCCTTGGATGCAGAAAGGGCCTTACTATACTAAATCAAACAGCTCCTTTCTTTCAGGGATGTCTATGGAAGAATATCTTTTATAGCTTCTGCGGACAACCTGCATTCCATGGGTTCTGGCTTCTTTCCCTCTTCAAAGGCAACAATAGTTTTGTTTTGCTTTACCAGTGCTGCTTTCCTGAGACATAAACTCTTAGGCCTTTGCCGGTCATACCTAAGTACCCTTGCAGTTACAATAGCTACAATGATCTAGCATAATTTTTTGCTAAATTCCACTGTTAACAACCTTAGTTCTACCTGAACCTCAATTCTCCTTGGCCAAATAACATGTTTATGTATCCTGGGTATGGACTTCAGGTTGTTGCTCTGTGAAACACTGGGTAGCTGCTTAAATGAATTTCTAAATGGACAAGTCCAACAGCTTCAGTGTGTGCATAATGCAACTGCGTTTTCCCCACAAAGGTAGAATGGAAAGCACACTTTAACAGGCGCATGCGCCACCCCCCCCGCACACCCCACACACACACACCACACCCCCCACACCACTACACACACACACACACACACACACACACACACACACACACTGCGACAGAAAGAATTATCTGTTGGTGCAAACCGGTGGTCGATTTAGGAGGCCAGGCATAGTGTGGTCTTCCCTTTAGAATGGGGTAGTTGAGGAGGGGGAGATGTAACAGAAGTCCCCACTTCAGATCCCTTAGAGACAGAAGAGCCCCCCTCCTCTTCATGGCTGCATGAACCAGTGAGAAAAAACATGGGAGAACCAACAGGAACAACCTACTGGCTGTCTGTTGCTAGGTCACCTGTCCCCTCTCAGGCTGCAGTACTGAGTCCCCCCCCCCCTTCCACTGGCGTCATATGAGTGGGTGGAGGGGGGAAGCAGGGAGGGGAAGGCAATATCCAGCCTCGTTTTGAAGTGCTGATGTACCTAGGGGCCCACTCAGTATCCCTCCGCTGCCTCCTGCTCCCCAACTCCAGACACCCTCCTTCATGTAGTCCCCCCTCCCCAAAGCCCTCATAGACCCTAGCTCTCAGGCATCCCCCACCCTGGAGTGGCACCAGAAAAGTGGTGGTGGTCTCTGGTTAGGGTGAGCAGGGGGCTGCAGGAGCTCACTGTGCGACCCACCCCCTCCCCAGGGGAGCTGGGCTGCGTGTGGCCCCGCCCTCTGGGAGTCGGAACTACGGTGGGCCCAGGCGGGGGCGTCAAGCCTGTGCGCCATATCCCTCCGCCCCCTTCCCGACACCCTCGAGGCGAGCTGTGCCTGCCGCATCCTGCGCAACAGCCCCTGCCCGTTTGCTGCAGAGGCGTGGGGGCAGGACGCGTCTCTGCCATTCCACTCGCGTGCAAAGCCCCGAGAGACCAGAGAGAGAAGAGCTGCGGAGGACGGAGCACAGCCCAGAGCAGACAAGCAGATGGGGGACGCGGGGAAGCCCGCAGACCTGGGCCTTGCGCCTGGCCAGGCAAGTGGGGGTGTGTCGAGGGCTCGGGGCGGCTGCGCTCTGCGGACCACCGCCCGGCCCTGACAGTGCAGTGGGAGCGAGCGGGTCGCGGGGGCTCCCCGGAGTGGTGCGCGGTTCCCGGAGATCCTAGGCGGGAGGAGGAAACGGGAATCCCGCTCGGGCTGAGGACCAAGGGGGCAGCTGGAGCGGCTGGCTGTGATGGTCTGGAGGCTGGAGGGGTAGGCAGCCTAGCATTTGGCTTCCCAGCGCTCGTGCCCCGCCCTCCACGGTGTCTGGACCCTGCAAAGATTAAGGAATAGGCAGGTGCGGGAAAAATAACGGTGCGATATTGGGGTAGGGGATCGCCCCATAGCCCACTGGTTCTGGGGAGGCTGCTGCGGGAGTTGGGGGGGTCGGAAGCCCGCGGGTGTGGGGGCGGGAGCCCGCAGGTGTGGGGGCGGGAGCCCGCGGGTGTGGGTGCGGGGCGGGTGTCCATCTCTGGGGCCAGCTCAGCTGGTGGGGGTGGTGAGTTGCCTAGGCTACCAGGGCGCTCATCAGTTTCCGGAGAGGGACCCTTGTACCCTGCGCCCTGGGTGCCATCCCTTCTCACAGGCTCCTGCTTGATGGCAAAGTATCCTGTCTGCGCGGTAGGTCTCGCGTGTTCTGACAGGCCACAGTGAGCATCTGTAGACCAGAGGCTTGAGGAAAGAGGAACAAGAAAATGGCGTGGATTTCTGGAGGTGTGTGGCAATGGGAGTGGGCACCAGACTGTGAGTGGAGATGCGAAAATGGTGGGGGTGACAGATCAGACAGGTGGGATATCCATTAGTGTCTCCTAATCTCATTTCTCACAGCCTTTCAGGTACTTTCCCCAATGCCCTTCCCCTCCCTTTCAAATTTGGGGTGTGAAAAGATGGTTTGGGGATGATGACGGAGTCATAAATCCAAGGACCACTTCAGAACCTGCTTTCTAGAATGTGCTGCGCCCTTCCCCCATTTTTTGCTGCGCAAGAAAAGGAAACGTGGCCACCTAGTGGTGAATCTTGAGAATGGCAGGACTAATGATTATGACATCAGGAAGTGGGTGTTACCCTCAGGAACCCTGCAGCCAGGCAAAATAAAACTAGAATGTTACAGCAGTAGGACCCTGAATGATGAAAGACACACAGTCTTCTCCTTTGTGGTGTTCTTCTCAAGAAGATCAACTGCTGCCATCATTTCCCGATTGCCTAGCGTTTTCATCTCTTTGTCCACAGGCCTGCTTTAAGTCTGATCAGTTCTGCGAGGAAGAAAATAGGGATCGAGGAGACTGTCTCAAGATCTCTGGAGGTTGGTGAGAATCGTGGGCAGTAGAGGACCCAGGTACTGAGGAGGCAGATGCAGACTGCTGTACCCCAAGAGGATGCATGATGTCTTTCCTGTCCCCTAAATCTGCCCACAGCTTCTCCCATCATCTCCTGATTGTCTTACATTTTCCTCTTTGTCCACAGACCTGCTTAAAGTCTGGTCAGCTCTGTTAGAAAGAGAACAGTCATCGAGGAGTCTGTCTCGGATCTCTGGAGGTTGGTAAGAATCTGGGTAGTGAAAGACCTAGGTACTGAGGAGGCAGATGCAGACTGCTGTAACCTAAGAGGGAGCATGATGTCTTTCCTGTCCCCCAAATTTGCCCACAGCTGCTACCATCATCTCCTGATTGTCTTACATTTTCCTCTTTGTCCACAGATCTGCTTAAAGTCCGGTCAGCTCTGCAAGAAAGAGAAAAGCATTGAAGAGAGCGTCTCAAGATCTCTGGAGGTTGGTAAGAATCTGGGCAGCGAAAGACCTAGGTACTGAGGAGGCAGATGCAGACTGCTGTACCCCAAGAGGATGCATGATGTCTTTCCTGTCCCCCAAATTTGCCCACAGCTGCTACCATCATCTCCTGATTGTCTTACATTTTCCTCTTTGTCCACAGACCTGCTTAAAGTCTTGTCAGCTCTGTTAGAAAGAAAACAGTCATCAAGGAGACTGTCTCAGATCTCTGGAGGTTGGTGAGAAGGGGGGCAGTGGAGGACCCAGGAACTAATAAGGAGGCAGATGCAGACTGCTGTAACCTAAGAGGGAGCATGATGTCTTTCCTGTCCCCCAAATTTGCCCACAGCTGCTACCATCATCTCCTGATTGTCTTACATTTTCCTCTTTGTCCACAGACCTGCTTAAAGTCTTGTCAGCTCTGTTAGAAAGAAAACAGTCATCGAGGAGACTGTCTCGGATCTCTGGAGGTTGGTGAGAAGGGGGGGCAGTGGAGGACCCAGGAGGCAGATGCAGACTGCTGTAGCCTAAGAGGATGCATGATGTCTTTGCTGGACCCTAAATTTGCTCACTGCCACAGCATCCTTTATTTCCTTTCAGAGCTACTAGGAATGTTGAGGTAGACGTGAATTAGACTATGATCCACAGGACAAGACATAAGAGCTGGGACCAGGGAACAGAAACTTTAGGCAGAAAGCAGGCATGGTTTTGTTGTTGGATTGGGCTCAGATATGTGTGCCCACGTAGCAGGCACCGAGCCTCCATTTTCTTTTATGCATTTGTAGGACTCCTTGCCGTCAGCTGTTGATCTTAACACCACCTGGACATCGAAGAGAGGAGGGAATTGCACCACATCGGTGAAGGTGGGTATGGGAGAGGGTTCACGTTTAGATGAGGGCAGTAGAGATCGACAAGACTGGCTACTGAGAGATTGGGGCTCCCGTCTGTCTTCATTTCTAGCGTGTGCACTGTCTCCTCAACCCTGCACCTGTGTTCCAGCAGGCAAGAGGAACATAGAGGTTTTCTCCTAGCTGAGCTGTTCCTCTCACCATCATTCACCAGTGTCTCTGTGTAAGTTTCTCCAGGAGGCAAGCGAACTGTATAGGACTGACTTGCTCTTTTTTCTCTTCCTAGATCACCTACAGTGGCTGCTTGGCGATTCTGTGCTTGCTGCTGACCAGTGCAGTCAACAGGTCTGCGCCCACCTAGGACCTGTCCATCTTCCTCCGGCTTGGTTTCGCTTCTTCTGCACTGTATCTGTGTTATTGACTGAGACTGCTTGGGTAGGAGCCTCCTTGAGTGCTGGATTGTCATTCCAGTCTGGTTCTTTCCAATCTCGTAGCCTAAGTTACCAAAGAGTGTTGTGAAGATCAATCCTGTAACAGATCTCTAGTGAAGGGTTACTGTTGTTGATTGGTATACATCAGAGCTTTACCGAACATATACCATGACTAGGGCAGAGATTGAGTCTGGTGCCCAGGCAAAGGCTGAAAGGAAGCCTGGGGATGAGAATGCCAATGCCAACAATAACAGTGTTGCTGGGGTAGAGAATGTAGTCCCGTTGGTTGTCAGACCCAAAGTTAGAACACAGATAATGCCTGGAGCATGGCCTAAAGTGAAGCCTAAGAATACTCCTGGAGCAAGACCTAGGAGTGAAGTCAGTTCACCAGGCGGGGCATACGCTAAATGCAAACCCAAGGCAATCCCTATTTCACGGTCGAAGAATGATGCTCAAGTATGGGCCCCAAGTAAGTTTCGGGCAGAGCCCATGTCAAGGATGGGCAAACAATGTCAGATCAGTAGTGCAGACTCTCCACTGGTCAGTACTGATTCTGGGGCTGTTGCTCAAGCTAAGTGCCTGTCTGTAGATAGAGAACTTGGTAATATGGACACTGAGAGTTTTCCCAAAAAGGCTCATCCTCAAGCAGGATTCCAGCCTTCCTATGGCTCAGAAGAGGGAACCAGTATGGGATCCTGGTACCGTACCAGGCCTATCCCCAAAGGAGAGGCTTATGAGAATTCTGAATTCAGATGGGCAGATAAACCTTCAGGAATTTCCTCCTACTGGAACAGAGATGAAACTAGTGCAAGATTTCGTCCTAGGAAAAACATGAAGGCCAATAATAACAGGTTCAGCACATGGCCAAACAAGAGGCAAATACTATGCCTAAACAGAAAAACAAGCAAGAGCTCTATAATATTTCTAGCTCTGAATCTGAGGATGAGTCTGCTAAGACTCCCTGGTTCTGGGCCAAAGAAAAGCCTAAAGTCTGGTCTAGGCCCAAAGAAGAGCCCAACAATAGGTCCTGGTTTAGGCCTAAGAAAGAAATTCGTGTTGAATCCACCTCTGGATCTGAATGTGAAAATCATGCAAAATCTTTGCTATGGTCTGGAGAAGAGGCCAAATCTCGATCCAAACCCAGAGCCAGGAAAGGGGTCAATATGAGGGCCAGGCACCAGGCCAAGTGAGAAGCTTGCAGTGATGTCCTGTCTGGATCTGTAGATACAAATAAAAAAGAGTCCTGGTTCATGCCTGAAGAGAAGGCTAGTGACTTTTCAAAGTCTAAGACAAAGAAGGAGCCCAAAACCAGAACAGTGCCAAAGGAAGAAGTGAAAACCAAGGCCAAAGCAAATCCCAAACAAGAAGCCAGACCAGAGGAGGAAGTCCTCATTGGGGCTTGGTTCTGGGATACCCAGGAGTCCAGGAAGGTAGAGAGGGTGAGCACTAAGGCCAGCCTGTATGTGGAGGAGGAGCCCTTTGTTGGAGATTGGTTCTGGAGTGAAGAAGAAGCCAGTGTGGACTCTGAGACCTGTCTTAAATCCAGACCAAGGGATAAGGAGGAACAAGTCAATAGTTTCTCTCTGGGTTCTGAGAAGAAAAGCAGTATGGAAAATGGACCTAAGGGTACCTCTAAGCCTATGCCAGTAGCTAATGAGGAGGATAACATTGTTGGGTCCTGGTTCTGGGCTGATGATGAAGATGTCAACTTACAGGCTGATGATGAGTCCATTTTTGGATCTTGGTTCTGGGGCGTTGGTGAGAACAGCTTGAGATCTGTTGGAGTCAGTTGTGAGAAGATGCCAAAGCCTGAGGAAAAAGAAGGTACCGATTCCTGGTTCTGGGCTGGAGAAGTCAATACAGAGGCTAAGGTTGAAGAACAGGCCAGGCCAGCAGCTACAAAAGGGACAATCTTTGTGCCTTGGTTTTGGTCGGAAAAGCAGGGACATGTGGATTTAGGGACTGAACCTTGTTCTGACATCATGGCAGGAGCTGAGGAGGAGCCCATCATTGGGCCCTGGTTCTGGGCTAAAGTAGACAATAGTGTGGAGGCTGAAGTTAATAGTAAGTCTAGCCTGGAGGATGAGGAAGAGCCCATTGTATCACCTTGGTTTGGGGCCAGAGAACAAGCCAATATGAAGTACGCAGCTGATAGCAGATACAAGCCTGTGGCAGAAGCTAAGGACAGTAATAAAAGGTCTTGCTTCTGGGCAAAAGAGCCCAGTTTGTGTCCTACCAATAGAGAAAGCTTGAAGTCTACTCTGAGAGAACAAGAGGACACTGTTGATTCATGGCTCTGGTCCAATAATTATCCAAAGACGGAGGCCGTTGCAGGGTCCTGGTTATGGGCTGCAGAAGAGGGAAATATAGATGATGAGACTGGAGAACAGATCAAGCTACCAACTGTAGAGGACAACACATTCAATTCTTGGTTCTGGAAGGAAAATGAAGAAACCATTGTAGAGGCTACTACCAGAGAGGAAGCCAAGCCAGAAGCTGAAGAGCAAGACATCATTGGCTCTTGGTTTTGGGCTGGGGATGAGGACAAATTTCAGCCAGCTCCTGAGATTAATGAAGAGAGCAAGGTAGCATCCGAAGAGGAAGAAGAAACAATTGGATCCTGGTTCTGGGGCAAGGAAGAGGCCAGTCTAGATGCAAAGAGGAGGGGTGCTTTTGAGCCCACTCCTGGAATTAAGGAGGAGAAAATTACTGGGTCATGGTTCTGGGCTCAAGCCAAAATAGGGGCTGGGTCGCAGACAGTCGAAACTGGGTCAGAAACTGAAGAGGAGGCAATTTTTGAGTCTCTGATGTGGGCTGCAAAAAATGGCAATACAAGAGCAGGTGTAAACTGTGTCTCCAAGCCAGAGGGTGAGGACAGAATGATTGTTGGGTCCCGTTTCTGGTCTAGTGACAAGGGCACTGGAGAATCTGAAACTGCGATCAGTGGGTCCAATCCAGAAAATGAACAAGGGCCAAAAGATGAGGTGATTAACAAGGTTGACAGTGGAGATAACTGTGGATTTAATACAGAAGCTGAAACCATGGTGGGATCCTGGTTCTGGGAAGGGGATGAAACTAGTTTTGAATCAAATCCTACCCCTGTGTTCAAGGTCATTTGCGAGCCTAAGTCTTCAGCTGAGAAGGAACCTGATCCTTCCCGCAGACCCCAGAGCTGGGACGAGGTCACTGTTCAGTTTAAGCCTGGTCCATGGGGAAAGGCTGGCTTCCCATCCATAAGCCCCTTCAGATTCCCCAAAGAAGCAGCATCTCTGTTTGCTGAAATGTTTGGGGGAAAACCTAAGACAGAAGGAGAGCAGGAATCTGAAGATGAGCCTGTATCTGAGTTCCCATTTCAGTATGATCCCAATTACCGATCAGTCCAGGAGATTCGCGAGCACCTTAAGGTCAAGGAGAGTGTGCAGCCTGAGAGCTGGTCTTGTAGCTGCATACAGTGTGATCTTAGAATTGGCTCTGAGGAGTTTGAGGAACTTCTTTTATTAATGGACAGAAACCGAGACCCTTTTATCCATGAAATCTCTAAGATTGCAATGGGCATGAGAAGCGCTTCTCAGTTTACTCGTGATTTCATTAGAAACTCGGGCGTTATCTCACTGATTGAAGCCTTACTTAACTATCCATCTACCCGTGTCAGGACAAAGTTTTTGGAAAATATGGTTAGCATGGCTCCACCATATCCAGATTTAAACATGATTCAGACATACGTGTGTCATGTTTGTGAGGATACCTTTGATTATGAGTTAAATTCCTCTGACCAGTTGTCTGGGCTGACAATGATTACACACCTCACTGCTACTTCTGACTATCACAAAGTGGTTGCCAATTATTTGTCTGGGTTTTTCTACTTACTGAATTCAGGCGATACCAAAACAAGGCTTCAGGTTCTGAAACTGCTCCTGAA